CTACAGGGCCATGTAATATTTTATTGCTGCCTGAGGAGAAAACATCCACAACCACTCACCAATTTGGCATAACCTCGGTGATCTAGGATGAGGTTTTCTGGCTTGAGGTCCCTATAAATGATTCCTTTGGAATGCAAATAGGCAAAAGCTTCTACCACACAAGCTGTATAAAATCTGGTTGTAGAATCTTCGAATGAACCTCTGTCAAGAGAAGAGAGAGAAAGAGGAAGGGAGGGAAAGAGAGAGTGAGAGATAGAGAAAGAGGGAGAGGTAGGGAGGGAGAGAGAGGGAGAGAGAAGAAGAAGGAAGGAGGAAGAGAGAGAGAGAGGTTATTTATTCATTCAATTAAGGATCTGGGGCAACAGTAAAAAATAAACATGGTAGCATCATTACTATGTAATTATAATGTAAAAACCAAAAATGGCCAGTTAAAATTGGGAAGTATACAAAGCATAACAAATATTTAAAAAGACTGAAGATATTTACGGAGATTTAAAAAACCCAACAGCTCTAAGACACATTTTTTAAAAGATACATTTGAGCATTAAAATGCATCCCATTTTGATAGAATAGTTTATAAGGAAAATCAGCAAAATACCACGTGGACAGTTCTAGAAATGTCAATAAACAAATTAATTGAAATGCTAATACTCTACAATAGTTCTATCCAGACCTTAGTTTTCAGAGCTCCTCTAAATACAGGCTCTGATGATGAGCTTAGAAGTCAACAACAAATAGAAAAAAAATCCCAGATATTATGATTCACCTTTATACTTCTCTCTCTCTCTCTTTTTAGTACAGAAAATCTCACAGCCTTACTTCGGTACAAGATAAGTCTATTCAATGAGTAAAACCTAGTGAAAATAATGGGATTTGTGTTCATCATGTCTTTCTTTTTGATTTTAATAGAACTGATCTAAGCATGACTAAGTCTGAATCCAATCTGTTTTTATCCCCATATTGCAGATAAAGGATCTGAAAACAAGAGAACGGGGATTTGTATAAGCCTGCTTACGAAAACAGAATTTGGGGCATCCTGGCTCACAGCAAAATGCTTTAGATATTCTATTTTACTTGTTCTAGCATGAGAAGGTACGCTCACTTAAGGAGGGTATGTATGTGTGTTAGCAGTTAATATAAACCTGGCCAGTCCACTAAGATAAGCTTCCAATTCCTGGTTTTGCATCCTTGCACCCACCACCATCTGATGTTTATGTATAGAATATGTCTAGGAGTACAAATGTAGAAATACTACATGCATTAGGAGGTGAGGAAAAGATAGGGACTTTCATTCCAGAACAGAGTTATGGTAATTTGGATTGGGCTCCAGTAATAAGTTGATTAATATATTAATTTGTGTTGCTCAGTGCTGACTTGGTTAAGAATAAACTAGCCTTATGACAAATAATTTGCTCCTTTTTAATCCACTCTATTGTACAGTAGTAAGTGCTATATACATGGTCAAATTAAATGGGGGTGAATAAAAATTGAGGTATATACAAATGCTATTTGGAATTTACAAATAGGATAAGTCATCTTAACTGGCTATATTATTATTTTCTTAATACTTGATGCTCCTTAGCACCCTCAATCTCAGCCATCAACATCATGGCTTCCAGAAGACAAAAAACCAAAATAGGAGGGACAACAGTGTCATTGAAAGATGCTGATGAAAAGAATACTGAACATGGCTGGTTTTCCCCATTTCCCCAAAATCAGAGATTTTGACACTGACAAAGACAGACGTCCAATTATTCCAGGTCTACAAGCTATGAGGACATTAATCTTGTTTTGTTTAGATCAGCTTCTGGAGACTAATTAAGCCCAACATTTTTGTTGCTAAGTGAGTCATTTGTAAAATGAATCTTGCCCCATTTTACAACATTTCTTGCTATAGTTGTTAAGTGAATCACTGCAGTTGTTAAGTTAGTGACATGGTTGTTAAGTGAATCTGGCTTCCCCATTGACTATGCTTTTCAGAAGAATAGACTAGAATTCTTTCTTGGCCAAGTGCGGTTGGACACACAAGGAATTTGTCTTGGTGCAAATGCTCTCAGTATACATAAAAGAAAAGATACATTAGTCAAGAATCATAAGGTACACTTAGTGATAGTCATGGGTATGATAAGCAATGAAATCATACTAGGAAACAGTCAATATAAATCATGAGGATTCAAGCGACAAAGTTATAGTCATACAGTCACAAGTGGGAGGGGATGGGTGATAAGGAGTGATGAGAAGATTAACAGTAATAGTAGTGCAGACTTAGTAAATAGTCTGACAGTGTTGAGGGAATTATTTGTTTCACTGAGTGATGGCGTTTGGGGAAAAACTGTCCTTGTGTCTAGTTGTTCTGGTGTGCAATATAGCATCGTTTTGAGGGAAGGAGTTGAAACAGTTTATGTCCAGTTTATGTGAGGGATCAAAAAATGAAGTTGCAAAAGGTGATTACATGATGTTGGGACACTGCAACCATCATAAATATGAGTCAGTTGCCAGGAATCCAAATTCTGATCAGGTAACCATGGTGCTGCAACGGTCATAAGTGTGAAAAATGGTCATAAGTCATTTTTTACAGTTGCATTGTAACTTCAAACGTTCACTAAATGAATTCTTGTAAGTCAAGGACTTAAATATGTATAGGATTTTATGAGTGGAGTACTTTGCAGTGCTTTCCTCAGGCAGCATTATAACTTGAAAACTGAAAATCACAGTTCAACTATTTTTGTATGAAACCACTGGCAGTGTCAGAAGAGAGTACTTCATTTATCTAATGACTTGACTGCAAAAGCCCACTAGCTATCAGAAGAACCAGACTGCAAAACAACTGTAGGCTATGATAGAATCACATTTCTCTGTTTATTGCTTACTCTGAGATCTTTTAAAAACAACAACAACCAAAAAACCCTCATACATTTATTCTCCAAACTGAATTTGTTTTTTTCTTTTCATTCCCTTCCGAATAAAAAAGGCACAGAGATCAGAAGCTTACTTTCAACAAATCACAAAATCAAAAATCACTGCTATATATTACAAGCAACTGCCAAATTAAATTTTAGAAGGAGAACCAATATGGTCAGTTTTCTTGACAGATGCAAATGGTTTCATATTTCACATCCCCAAATTAACTCCTGGGTAAGCACTTAACCCTTTATCTTTCCTTAGGATACATATATACTGACATTCTGTATAAGTCTGTTCCAAAGCAGGCATGCAGCCTAAAACTAAAACAGCATAAAAAGTTAACAAGGTTTTGCTAGTGGCTAAGTATTTCAATTACTAATAGATGACCTAAGGAAATAAAAGAGAAATTCTATTTCGTAGCTAGATGGCAGCAGATACCAGGGGTAGACAGAAAAAGAATGAAAATAAAGGTTCAAAGACTTATGCAGACTTAAAAGAAATCTGAGCACAAGGTAATTTGTATTGTAATTTTATTTTTTAAACAAATTAAATTCAAGTAAACATTTGGAATTTAAAATGAAAATAAAAACAATACTACAAAAATAAGTTTTGAGGTTTCATTGCTATATTTCTGTCTTCTTCTTTTTTTTTTGCTGTACCACTTATGCAACGGATAAGTTTTAAATATTTGCCATCAAATCGTAACCCAAGTGATTTATTTTTATTTACACAATTTCGATCAGGTGTTAGAGTACGTCTCATAGAAACACCAGGCATATTAGCCAGTAAATCCATTCTTTCATATCTTTTGATTTTTGATATTTTATTACTGCATTTTGTTTTATTTCTAATATACTTTAGAATTACAGGAATACCTCTGACTCTGATTTACATTCTGCCTCTATATTTGGATGAAGGGAGGTCTAAAAGTTCAATTATTTTCCTCCTGATAGGGTTTTTATTATATTTATTCATTCATTTAAATTTATACGGCTTTCCATCTCAAAGGCATGACTGTGGGTGGCCGGCAACAATTAAGAACTACATAAAAATTATATAAAAACTCCACAGAAATACTAATCAGAAGCCAAGGTTAAAAGAAAAACTAACAGAAGCCAGATTAAACACAATGACTGCATGGTTTTCCACACATCCAGATCCCCCAGCACAAGGACAAAACTGCATCTTTAAGGCCTTGCGAAAATACAGAAGGGTTGGGGTCAAACTAATCCCTGGAGGGATGATGTTACAAAAGATGGGCGCCACAATAAAAAATATCTCTCTTCCTGGGCCCCATCAGATGACATTCTGTAATAGATAAGGACCTGGATCATTGATACTCACTAAATGGAACATTTTGCTTTAGTTAGACTGTGGCTGTTGATTATGGATGGTTCCTCTAGCTCAGGACTCTCAAACTCGATTTCATTGAGTGCCGCATCAAGGTTGTGTTTGACCTCGGGGGGGGGGGGGGGCAAACAGGGCCAGGGGTGCATGGCCAGCTCTACCTCACTCATGTTGGGGGTGTCTGTGGTGACCCAAGTGCTCTGCCAGGAAAAACAGAGCTTCATTTTCATTGGCAGAGGATTGCAGGAGGCCATTACAGCGGAAGACGGAGCTCCATTTTCTCTGGCAGAAGGTTGCAGGAGGCTGTCACAGCGGAAAATGGAACTCCGTTTTTGCTGGCAAAGTCCCCGCGGGCCGGTCCTTCACCATTTGCAAGGTGCCCCCATGGGCCAGATCTAAGCACCCTGCGGGCCGGATCCAGCCCACAGGCCTTGAGTTTGACACCCCTGCTCTAGCTGAAATGGTTTCCATGATATTTTGAAAGGAGATCTGGAAGAACATTAGTAGAGTGGAAGAGAATAGGTAGCTTCCTGTCTGAAAGTGATAATGCAGTGGGGGGTGGGGAGGGATGTGGAGATGACGATGGGGGTGGGGAGAGGCTTAACTTGAAAGCCCCAAGGACAATGTTTGAATGACCACAAGGGGGAATGGAAGTAAGTTGGAGGTCAGAATGAGATGCATTGCTGAAAGTGTTTGAAAGAAAAGAGACTGTCAGTAGTGAGTTAACCAGAATTTAAATTGGGGATGGAGAATCTTATTGGACTGGTAGAGGAGGAATCCCATAACAACTTAAAGAGGTCAAACATCAATTTGAGCGAGGTATCATCCACATTCTGATCATACCCAGCTATTCATTACTTCCTAGGCTGAGGATAAGCCCAGGAGATCCTTATTTGATATCTGGAAGCTAAAAAGGATTGGATGGGAAAAAAATGGGTGAAATTAAACCCAGGCAAAGTGGAAGTAGTATTCATACAAAGGCAAACCTGCTTGATTCAGACTTCTATTTTGGCTCCGGACAAGGTTATCTTCCTCATTGAGTTCACAGGCATTCCCAAGGCTTTCTGAATTCAAGCTCCTGCTTGATCAGCAAATAGAGAGCCAAGGCCAAAAAAGACTTTTGCCCAGCTTCAGCTGGTGCCACAATAAAACCCTCCATTTTTGGTGGTGGGTAACTTGTGTCACTAACTCATCATTCACACCTCTATGATACAGGAATACAACATATTCTCCCTGGAACTACTTTTAAAGGCATCTGAGAAACTGCAGTTGGCCAAAGTGTGATGGCCTAATTAATATATACAGATGTCTGTGGAGATTCTCAGTCATCCAGGTCATGGTTGCCCCAAAGATGCTTTTTCAAAAGGCAACTGGACTGTTTTCTCTTGAAGACCTTTCGCTTTTCATCCAAGAAGCTTCTTCGGTTCTGATTGAATAATGGAGGATGGAAGGATTTTTATTCCTTGCAGTCATCTGGTCATTAGCAAGGAATAGAAATCCTTCCATCCTCCATTATTCAATCAGAACCGAAGAAGCTTCTTGGATGAAAAGCGAACGTCTTCAAGGAAAAAGAGTCCAGCTGCCTTTTGAAAAAACAGTATGTTGGGACAATATATACCGATCTTCTTTGTGGGCTCAAGGCTGATTGGCCAAAACGTTTCTGAATTCAATTCAAAGTCCTGGTATGAATTATAAAGTCCATCTTGGTTGTCTTTGGAATCAGGGAGAATCTACCCATCCTGAAAAGTCTTCCTGGGAAGGATGTTTCCGTTTCCTATCCCACATTACATTTTTCATTTGTTTGTTTATATGGCTGCCAGTGTCACGGTAGAGCAGGGGTGTCAAACCCGATTCCATTGAGGGTAATATCAGGGTTGTGTTTGACCTTGGGGGTCTGGGGTGGGCATGGCCAGCTCTATGTCACTCGTGTTGGGGGGCACCTGTGGTGGCCCAAGTGTTCTGCCAGTGAAAACAGGTGTCAGCTTTGGAAGCCATATTCCATGCTGCCACATAGCCTGAGAAAGTGGGAGAGGGGTGATTTCAATTGAGTAGTTCTAAGTAGACAAAAGAAAAATTCTTTTGTTTGTTCAAGGTTATTAAGTGTGGCGCAGGATGGAAAAAGGATCTTGGATGGATCATGATTGGTCCATGTGATGTGATGATGGCAAAAAGGAGATGGATTTTAGTTTGGGACATTGTAGGAAGTCCGGAAAACTTTTAGTTTCAAGATTCTACAGATGTGCCAGATGCTATTCTAATAAAGGTCTTTTGAGATTATGCTTGTCTTGGAGTTACTGATTGGAATGGAGGTTTGCTGGAACGCTGACAACAGGCTCCTGAGCTCTGTTGTCGGCTGCCACGGCCTCCTGCCATGTGTCGCCCTTTTCATCAGCAGTGGCACTATGGGCCAGCCCTTTGCTGTTTCCAGGATGGCCCCGCCGCCCAGATCTAAGCACCCCGTAGGCCGGATCTGGCTCGCAGGCCTTGAGTTTGACACCCCTGCAATAGAACCTCTGGGTAGTTAAAAACAAGTTTTAACGTAAGAAAACCAAACCAAATTAACCACAATACAAAGCAGGCCTTAAAATAAACAAATACATTAATATGTATTGGGAAGTGGAAGTGGACAGCTTGTTCTACAAGTCAAGGTTGCCCCCTCCCCAATTTTCTTCTCCCAGGTATTTGAGGATTAGGGTTGTTGGGGAAGCTGGATTTGAGTGGATTGCTTGTAGCCAAATGTATTTTTGTGACTTTTGTGAGATATATGGTTGTGTTTTCTTTCTTGCTGCATATTGTAAACAACCCAGAGTATTGAGATTAGAGTGGTAGGTAAAATATGAAATAAAAGAAACCCTCTCAGGAAAGTCTCATTGAATTTAATGGAAATTCTGTTTAAGTCAGAACAGGATTGCAGCTTTACTTACTTGGATGGCTTACCCGGTTGTCTGAAACTACCCCGAATAAAATTGCTTGTTAAATATTTAAAAGCACAATGTAGCAGTCCATCATAAGAGTTGAATTTGTCAACTTTAAGAGAACAACACTAATTCAACAACACACTGAGTTAATTGGGTGGGGTGATGCAGGAACCCTTTGCTGTGCTTTCAGAAATTTATTTCTACTGGCCGACGTGAAATATTTTTTGGCAGAGATATCTGTCAGAATTGCCCTGTTGGCTAATATGGGGATCATATGAGGACACTCTTCTATTGCTGCCAGCAGTCCTAAGTAATTTCCTCCAATAGGCTACATGTCACGATGGATAAATGTTGTCATCAGTAAGAATGTCTTCTCAATATCATTAGCTGAAGAAGGTGAGCGGAAGGACTAATATGTTGGCTAATGGGCTTCCCATAAACATCTGATCAGCCATGAAGTAAAGTGACTGCTGGATCAAACAGGCCTTGGTCTGATCATGGCATGGCTAGGCTTATCTAGTCTTCTTTCAAAATCAGTTGGTAGTTAGCTCAATGCCATAAATTCTGCTATTTACATACATTTTGGACACATGTAATCTTGATCATTGGGACACAGTGGCTCAGTGGCTAAGATGCTGAGCTTGTCGACCAGAAGGTCATCAGTTCAGTGGTTCGAATCCCTAGCGTTGCCTAACGGAGTGAGCTCCCATTACTTGTCCCAGCTTCTGCCAACCTAGCAGTTGGAAAGCATGTAAAAAAATGCAAGTAGAAAAATAGGGACCACTTTAGTGGGAAGGTAACAGCACTCTGTGCGCCTTTGGTGTTTAGTAATGTCAGCCACATGACCATGGAGACGTCTTTGGACAGTGCTGGCTCTTTGGCTTAGAAATGGAGTTGAGCACCTCCCCTTAGAGCCGGAAATGACTAGCATGCATATGTGAGGGAATCTTTACCCTTACCTTAATCTTGGTCACCAGCTAAAGCAGTAGTCCCCAACCTTTGTGGCTTGGTGGCACAATAAGGTGGGGGAGAGGGGAACCA